GGGGGGGGGGGGGGGGGGGGGGGGGCGTGCTTCCAGCTAAGTCGACCAAGACAGACGAGGCTGCAACGATGGCGACGGCGTTAACTTTCACAAAAGATCTGCGTTTGTCAACCACTCCGCGTTGCGAGTTCAGAGACATGTTCAGGTTATCGACGCCGGGGGTCACTCTCGCATTGTAGCAATCGCCCCAGAACTTGGATGGCGGTTAGATGCACGTTGCCCCCCCGACCAAGACGAAACACGACGGCAACTTCGACTCTTGGGGGCCGCTCTCAGCAGTCTTCGGCGCAACATGCCTACATAGTTCGTTCGGTCGCACTTGTGCGGAGGGGCGGGACGGGGTAAGGGGGCGGGACGAGGGGCTATTCCTCACCTCCGTGAGAGTTCTCCATGATGTCCATGAGCACCACCAGCACTGGGATAAGAAGCGCCGTCACGAAGTAGGGTGTAGCCTCCGTGACCCACAGACTGGTAACGAACACCAGCATCGTCAAGCACCTGCGTGCGCACCGCACGGCGACACAGCGGCGGGAGCAGGAGGAGGAACAGGGGTCATACCGCCGCGTCTTGCGCCGCATGCTAAGCTGTTCAGCAGTCTCACACACACGGAATATTGGACCACAGTAACAGGGAGAGGCCGTGTCACGCTTGGCATGGCGTAAACCGCAGAAGCGAACGCACCATCCAAACATGACACAGCAGTGTTCAGGTGGATTGTGCTGGGACCCTTGTGCCCCGGCGAGACACGCGTACCGCAGGTTGAAATCACGACGCCATAAAAACAAGGGGCAACATAAAATAAGCAAAAACTAGTGATACACGTCAGTAGGACCGGCACTGCCCGCGGCACTGCCGCAGCAAGCGGAACAGTCTCGAGGAGTTAAGAACAGGAATGCTCCATCCCCCGCCATGGATGCCCACTCCCTTCTTTCAATGCCGCAGCGGTACGCCTTGGCGCACGAAGGTCGCTCGCTTACTGGTCAGGCCCGGCGGAAGGCGTCGATACGCCCGCAGAGGTGCCACAATAAATCTCTTCTCCAGTCTCAGAAGAGATATTTGCCGTTTCCTCCTCTCTCTTCCCCGAAGGGGGGAACCATGAGACGGTCATACCGCCATGGCTTCAGGTTGGTTGGAACCTTACACGCCAGTTTTTTACGAAAACGCCTTTGTCGCAAGCTGTCCCGCACAGGTCCCGGGCGAAACGAAACACCCGAGTGTAAACATGTATGTGCCCCAAAAACGTGGTTTCTGGTGTCAACGTCCAAAACTGCGTAGCTCAAGTTCCAACTTTTGTCTTCGCTTGAAGGGGTTAGCCGTGACACCACTATTATTATAAAAAAACCCCCAAGCGGCAGTATGCACTATTGCCCCTGGTAGGGTTAGGGTTTAGACACGAAGCACCCACCTCGACGCGTGCAGGTTGCCGTCCAGGTCCGGCTGGAACATCCACATGAAAAAGAACAACTGAGTATATTTTTGTTTTGCGTGTGTGCGCGCGCCATTTTTGGTGTGACGTTCCACACGTGCACGGCACCAAAAGTTCATGTGCGTGCGTGTGCGTGCGTGCATGCCCAGAGAGGAGGGGGTGCAGCCAAAGCAGCACCCAGGCGGACCAACACCAAAGCAGCGGAGGACATAAAGCACGTTAGCACGGAAAAGCCGGCATCAGCGCCGACCGGAGGGAGGGAGGGAGGGAGGGAGGGGGGGGCGACGGAGGGAGGGAGGGGAAGACGGGGACATGCCGTGTGAAAGTCGTTCGTACAAAAGAAAGCACAAATACGGTGTGTTCTCGCCCCCCCCCATGCGCCACGAGCGCGGGGAAAACAACAGGCGAACATCAACAGTGCCCGACCCCCACGGCACAACGACGCCCACAAGCGCTTCCAACAGCACACGACACTTGACGTGCTCCCAATCCGACTCATCCCCGTATCCTCTGGTACTGCTTCAGCTGCACCGACCGCCGCTCGTAGGGGCAACAAAAAAATCCAGGACCACTTCTTCGCGACAACAACAAACAAGCTGGCGAAGTGGCCAAAATCGACGGACAGTCGCGGGGGTTAAACCCCCCTCCCTCGCCCGCGTGCGGGCTGAACACGCGTCTAACCTGCGTTGGGGAAGCTTCTTACGCCATAGATCTCAGCCAAAAATGACGCGATGCGCACGCTGTATGCAAACATGGTTTTACACACCACACACCAGCAGGGAGACGACGAGGGGGGTAAACTTGACCGCCGTGAAAACCTCTTTTTGAGACGAGTCCATTTGCGCTAACTCCGCGTGACGCTTCATGTCCAAGAGCTTGTCGCGGGAGACCATTCCTGTCCGAAAAAGAGAGCGCGCGGGGAAGGGTGGGGAGGGAGAGAGAAACAGAGCCGAGAGGGATAGAGGTAAAGAGGCAGAAAGAGAGGGGGAGAGAGAGAGGGAGAGAGAATGAGAGAGAGAGAGAGAGAGAGAGGGAGAGAGAGAGAGAGAGGGAGAGAGAGAGAGAGAGAGAGAGAGAGAGAGAGAGAGAGAGAGAGAGAGAGAGAGAGAGAGAGAGAGAGAGAGAGAGAGAGAGAGAGAGAGGGAGAGCGAAACAAACAGAGACCGAGAAAAAGAGGCAAAGGGAGAAAGAGACAGATAGATAGAGATATAGATAGCACAAAAACGAATGTCGCTCCGGACGTGATGAAGAAGACATGATGAAGAGGCCAAGAGCGCCAAGAGCGCACAGCGTTCTTCCGATATCGCAGAGACTATTTTTCACCGGATTTCCCCCCAAGCAGGGTGAACATGGAACATCAACGAAACGATGCCGGGTGTGTTCTCTCGCAAGTGAGTAAGCATCACACGGCACGAAGAAACTGCCCTAGACCACCACGTGTCTCTCTGGTGGTGGTGGTGGTGGTGGTGGCGGTGGTCTGGCAGCGTGCCCCTCGGCTTGTCTCGCCCGCCGCCTTACTCGCACGCCCGGCCTGCCGGGTGCGCTTGCTTGCTTGCAAATCTTTGCGGACCAAAAGAGCATGTTTCTTGTGTCGTTTCACATCGACTCGCTTGCCCGCGACGCTCCCTGATCCCCTAGCCTATCCCATTCCGTAAAAAAACTTCTCTCCTGTGCGCGTTGTGTGTGTGTGTGTGCGCGCGCGCTCGCGCGCAGTTGCTCATGGCTTACAACTTTCGCCGTACACGGGGTTGTCGCTTCGATTTGTACTTTTTGTACCCACAACGCCCGAGCCACGCCCTGCTGTGTCACGACAACACGCACGCCTCCTCTCGGCTAGTTTCTCGCGTCTCATCTCATCCCGCCTCTCTCTCTCTCTCTCTCTCTCTCGTCCTTTTTCCTCCTCACCTTGCAGCCGCTCGAGGAGCGAGTCCGGCCCCTTGGACTGGTAAAACTCTTGCCGGCGCAGCCTCTCCAAGAAGCTTGCCGATACAGGAACAAACAAAAAAAAACGAACCCGGCGGCGGCGGCGGCGGCGGCGGCGGTGGCGGTGGGTAGTCAATATAGTACATGTCCTTCGTCCTCACACAAACAGAGGGAGAGAGGGAGAGGGGGGCGGCAGGAGAATTTCACTGGATGCTGTAGGCTTGAATACTGCATGTCCTTAGTCCTCAGAAAATAGAGGGGGAGGGGGGCGGCATTTACACTGGTTGCTGAAGGCTTGGGGGCACCCAAGAACCAACCTTTTCGAGCCTGCTGTACCGCCGGTAAAAGAGGAGATGGAGAGAGGCGGAAATTGTGTGCTGGAGAGATATGTAGACAGTCGAGAGATAGGTGTGGGGCGGAGACGTGGCAAATCTCACGACTCTCACCGAAAAAACGTGTCATCACGTTTCTTCTTTTCGGTCCGCTCAACCCTCTCAATCCGGCGGCTTTTTCTCTGCCCGGCCCTCCGACTAACCACACACAGACAGGCAGACACACGTGCACGCACTGGCACTCGCGGTGTCACCCAGACCTGCTGCTGCTACTACTGTTGCTGCTGCTGCTGCTGCTGTTTCTGCCGATGCATTGTGTAGCAAAAGCAGTGTGGGGAAAACGAAGGAAAAACATGAACACAAAGAAAAGGTGAGGTAGTGCACGGAAGATAACACCCCCCTACTAATTGATTTTCTATGGCTATTCAATGTAGGCTGCGTGTACCATTCATAACAATCCCTTGGAAAAGCAAACCTGGACGATATTTCAAGCGTATGCATACATGATACCAAAAACAACACCCGCTTTCGACAACTGCTAAGACACGCCCAACCGAAAGCACCATTTTGTGCAGAACTGTTATAGCGCTCTTCATGGACCACCGCGGCAGTAAGCAGCGTTGCGCGTTCCAAGGACAAGAAGACAAGAAGACAAGGAGACACGACGAAACTAACGAACAAACCTGGTGAGGAAGTCGGTACCCATCGTCTTGTCGTACTTTTTCACGATCTTGCGGAACCCCTCACCGTTCATTTCCGAGAACGCGCCCAGCGCTGTGATCTCTGAGTACGCCTCGAAGAACGGGGTCAGGGTGTTTCCCGACGGAACGGCCCAGGAGTTCATCATGTTCCCCCTGTCGCGGCGTTATTTGAAACGGTTTTAGTATTCACGCGGCATTTCATCTGACAAGAGTTCTTGATTGTTTTGGGGCGTACGGTACCGTTCACCTCAAGGGACAAGAGGGGTACTCAATCGGTTCAAGGGTGTTTTGTCAGAGCACCCGCCGTAGGCGACGGACGTTCGATTTCTTTCATGTTTCACTACAACGGACGAGGTGTAAAAGTGGATGATACAACCACGACTTCAACGACAACAAGAGCAACCAGCGTCAACAACAACGACAACAATAACAAGAGCAAGAACAGGACCAGCTGGGTTAACGATCGTTTTCAGGGGGTAAACCCATCCAATGCACTGACTGCTGCCAGTTAGGGACAACGAAAAATCGACAGTTTTTGCTGAAAACTTCAATACAACTGCGGCGGCACCGCCCGCTTTTGATGATTTTCCACTACAATAACCGCTCGCGTACGGAATGAACAACACCACCCCGGAGTGGGGGCTATCGAAAAAACATTCGGTGATAAGGCATTGTAGGAAAGATTATGACGCGGATTTAACCTCATCAATGAAACTGTGCCGCGGTGACAAGCAGTACCGTACCAGAGGAGATCCGCAAGAATTTCCCGTTTCTACGTACGCGAAAGTTATACATCAAGAGCGCTCGCATCGGGCGGGCGTCTCCATGGATTACGAACTGTTGGTACGTGCTTCGTCTGAAACGGGACGCGAGGGCAACCGCCAAAAGAGACATTAATCAGCAACACGGGCAACCAAAAACCATGATCAACCTCCAAGTTCACCCCCACCAGTGTCCGTAGCAACACTCTCTTCACCCCGCTTTCTACATACCTGGCCTCAAAATCTCGAAGAATTTGGTCGAGCTCTGCGTACTTCCCCTTGTAAAACTCTTCCACCTGCACCAAAAACAAGGGCCCATCGCAACAACAACAACAACAACAGCAAAATGTAGTAATAGCGGCCCGAGAGTATCAGTGTGGGTGGGCGAGTGGGGAGGAGATGGGCTGATGAGCATGGTTGGCCGGTTTGGGTGTCTGCCTGGCCTCAATAGGGCCTCCGCACACATAATACCCTCCTGCCAGCGGAGCTGGCCGCAGCGAGCAGCAAGGTGAAAGCACGCCACATATAGAACCGATACGCACCTAGCGGTACCACTATTACCACCGACATCGCCATCATTTCCGCCAACGCTACCACTACATGCTTACCACGGAAATTAGGGATCCCGCAAGATTCACAACATGTAATGATGACGTCACCCCTCCCCCCCCGAAAAAACGCCTAAAAAACTGACCTTATGCAACTCCTGGTCGATCGCGCCAAAGAACTCTGCTGCCGCTGTCATGCCCTCCTCAGCACTCTCCTGCCGCTTCATCCGGACGTACTTCGCACGCGGTCCAAGCAGCAAAAACAATGACGAATGTTCTCATCATAGGCGGTATGTGCAACAGGAGGTGGTTAGGACAGGATTATGAGGGAAAAGAGAAGGGGACAAGTTGGGGTTGTACAACGGGAGGGGGCTGGGACAAGAGAAAAGAGAAGAATACAAGATGTAGCTGTAGGCTGGGTTCGGCAAGCAAAAGGACGGGACAATCTCGCCTCCGTTCGGCAAGCAAAAGCACGCGATAATCTCGCCTCCATGGCCGTGACGAGAGTCAGACTGAAGGGAGAGTCCTACTGTGCAGAACCAAAAACCGTAGCGGTACGGGTGTTGTCATTCCACTTGTTCTGGACGTCAAATCTTACAACTGTTTGGCAAGTTTTCGGACGCACCGGCCGGGGTCTCGCACAGGAGGAAAGCCACGCAGGAGATGTTTTGTCTTTTCCCTCCACCCTCCTTGCTGCGGTGTGGGCAACCTCATGTTGCTTCAAAGTAGACTAAGCTATACAAGCACACGGATCCCATAACACTCCAATCCGCTAGACAAAAGAAACTGAGGCGACACGCGTCGCGCCACACCCGCCGCCGTATGGTAACAGCGTACCCGACCATTCGCCCCAGTTGCTCCCCTTGTCCCTCACTATTGACGCCCCCCGCACCTTCCATTCTTGTGCGTGCATTGCGACGCTGCCGCTGCAATCTAGACCCGGTCACCTTATTGTAAGCGTGGAGGCGCGCACAGGCAATCACCCCCCTCTTCCTTCCGCGTGGTCGAAAGACTATTTGTACGTCAAGGTTATTTGAAGTCGAAAGGCGACGGATGATACACATTTGATCATCAATTGCACTCACTTCCCCCATCCCCCCATCCCCCCCTCTCTCCCTGCTCAACCCCAGAACCCCTAGAATAGCCAAACCCAACTCGTGCTCGCTCATTTGTCGTAGCTCGTCCTCTCTCTCTCTACTTTTCTTTCTTCTCACATTGGCGTGGTCCTCGACAATCTCCTTGTTGAACGAGCTCGGCGACGAAGGACGCAGGGGTTCCCCCTCTCCCGCCGTCTCACACGACGCGCTCACGATTTTGCTGTGCCCCGCAGGCGCCCCCTGCCCCCCTCCGGGATCAGTCTCCTGCTGAAGGGGGGTTCTCTCCGAGACGTCGTGAGGCTGCAGCGACGGAGGGGAAGAAGAAGCCGCAGCCTCTGCCGCCCAGGCAGCTGTTCGTTTCGGTAAGGTTTTCATGTGAAATGTGTGAGAGAGCGGGGGAGTTGTGGGGCGGGGGGCGTGAACGAGGGGCAGAAAGGTGAAAATGATTGGCTTTTGTTTCGAACCTAAAGCAGTAGGTCGGTCTAAACGAAGCGTTTCAAAAACGGGTCAAATGCTGGAGGGAGAGCACCAAAATGTTTCCAAAACGTGTTCGTTTTTTCGCCATCCTCAGGGAAGAAAAGTAAATCGCGAACCAACGATAGCCGCCCCCGTGAGTTCCATCGGGCTCCGTTCTCGCCTCTCACACCACGGGCACGGCAAGCAGTCTGACGTCCTACGGCAAAAAACCTGTTCACAATCCCGTGTATAGTATAGTATTGTACACTGGTACACACGTTCTGATCTGGTTTGTTTGACGAATCATGCACCGCACGCCCAAAAACCCGAACATATCCACACAAACACCTACTTAACAAAGAGAGAGAGCGAGAGAGAGAGAGAGAGAGAGAGAGCGATGTTGAAAGAAGAACATAGACGCGCCTTCTTTTCGGGCGAACTGCAGCTCCGCGTCCTCTTCGCCCTCTCGTCGCTCCATCCTCACGAAGTTGTAACGGTTGATCATTCTCTTCATCTTGCCGTATGCCTGTAAATAAGTCAGGTGTGTGCGTGCGGCCACCGTTCGTCCAACAATAACGGAGGGCAAAATGCAGAAAGGCGCGAGTTGGGCGGGGGAAGGAGACGCGGGGGCTTACTTTAGACAACCATCCTTGATGCTTGATTTCGGGGACGACCTTGGCAAGCTAAATATTTAGTGCAGGGCGGGAGCGGGGGGGGGCGTACTCTCATGTTTTGCATGCCTTAGCTGTTGGACCGTTGACCACGCGTGTTCGAGAGACAGAGGATTGTTCCCACAGGACCGATCACCGATGGCCAATCGCTCCTCCCTACTTCGCCAAAGGTGGCTCAAAACTGCTTCCCCTATCCTATATATCCTATCGATATCACTTCACGCCTTTTCAACCCACTTCCTAGGTTACAAACAAAAGGGCGGTATATCTATATTATAGCCATCAAGCCATCAATTTACCGTGCCTAGCAACATACGTGCTACCGTAGGGTGAATAGGATATCACACATCCTTGGCCGATTTTCAAAACTCGATTACCATCATTCTGCAGCGAAACAGCGGTGATGTTGCCGAAAATTGCGTCGTCGCGTGAAACCGTCTCGTTCGACAGCGTTCCGAAAAACGTATAATTTGACTGTGACACCCTCTTCGTCGAGGAGAGGTTGGGCTCTAAGAATTGAGGGGTGGTATCTTACGCAACCTACCGTATGCGAGTGTAGTTCGGCGGTGTCCGCAATAGGCGGTAGCAAGACGCACTGGGTGTGGTGACTCGTTGCTGTGAATTGCCTTGATAATATTGGAATAAAGGCTCTCTTTTTGTGATATCGTTGACGTGTGGCCGCCGTACGTAGCGATCACATGACATCATACGTACGAAGCGAACCTTCCACTACACCGGTCAAACAGTAGTAGTGCCGCCTCGTCGTTCTATTTGTGATCTCTTTGTCTTTTTGCAAGCCACAAAAAAATTAGCCTTGGGGTTGAAAGTGACAAGAAGAGCAGTCAGTCATACGTGCCGAGCATATTTCGGGGTGGGCTGGAGCGGCTACACAAATCAGCGCCGCAGTTCGTTCGACGTCAATGTGGTAGCCTTGCCTTCCTTCGATTAAGAACGCGCGAAAGGGTGCATGCAGCACTCTCTCCCTCATACATACATCGTGTACACACGAACTACAGTACACAACGCTTCTTTCACAACCACGAACGGAAGACGAGAAAAAAAATCACTTTGCATGAAAACCTTCGAATATTTCGACGGGGTTCGAACCGCTGACCTGGCCACCAGGTTGCGAAGATACCAACTAGACTAGAGGGGCCACCGAGGCCTTTGTACTTCCTGGGACGCACTTCACCGACCGATAGCAGTGTACCGACCGACAGCATAGCGCGCGCGCAGTCTCTACATATATTTTGCTAACGTTTCTCTCCCCGTTTTTGCCATCCCTCACGCACAAGGAGTTGTGAAGCAGCTAGAACATCGACTGCTTGTAAAGTGGAGGCTCACATGCGTTGCTCTCCCTCAAACATAGACTCGAGCAGTCTGTATGTAGTCTATCATAGGATACGTAAGATATCACACCCCCTCGATAATTCCACGACGAAGAGGACGACGCCTGGAGAAATCAAATGATATGCATACGTTTTCGAGAAGCTCTCGATGAGACGGTTCTAACTCTGCTCTTATCGGCACCGTCTCTGCTTTTGTTGTAGAGTAATGGAGCTTTTAAAATCGGCCCCAAAGGGGCATGGTATCTTACGCAACCGATCGTGTGCAGCATGACTACGGTAAACGCTATTATTGTTGTATGCGCGTGCGTCTTCATGTGCTTGTCGTACGCAGTCATGCCACGCGTGCTGCTCCTGTGGTACTGCTGTAGTGATGCCACTTGCTGGATTCGGAAAGTGAGTACCTCGATGCTCGCGCTGCCGTGTTCAGCACTACAACCAACGCTACCCCTACACCGATAAACTCCTCGGCATCATTTTGCTTCCCTCCCCTGTAGTACTGTACTAGTATCATACCTACAAATCAGGATTGTATTACCGCCAGTCTGTATGCATATCTCTGCCTTATTTCGGCGCACACTCTGTGTTTGGTAAAAAACTCCGCCGTCTGTTGCAAGTTGCAATTAGGTTCTCGTTCGCAAAACTTCAAGCATGTGATCGTGCGTGTGGAGCGAACAGACAACGAAGACAAAGGTGCTACAGTACTTGTCTACCATCGCCGTTTTCTCGTCCCGAGGCTCACCATATACTTGTCCATCCAGGGCCCATACGCTCTGGTCTGGAGCTGCTTTCCATACTTCATGACAAGTAGTGCGTCTCCCCGCGGCCGGATCTACAGCAGCTACGGACTGCTGCTGCTCCACACCACCACCACCGCCTTTGCCCCCTCAAACACCCGCCTGTTCGACCCAGCACTGCACGCTATCCGATAGCAGACTCGGTACCTATTGGGACAGCGACCCACGCACGTGCAAGGGTTTCTTCGTGAGTCGTGGGCGTGTGATTCCTGTGATCGTGAGCGTGTGTGCGCGCGGAGGGACGCATCTTACATTCCGTTTCACCTGGGTGCCTCCAGCTCCAGCAGTATCATCATCATCCATGAGCACTACGGCGTACGTAAAAATTACACTACGTACAATGTGCTACTTCAAACAAGTACTGCAGGCGGTTCCCACTACAACCCCCCCCAACCTCTCGCTGTAGTAGAGCTACAGCGTATGTATTGATCTTCCAATACAGCACTCCAGGTGCCCGGGAGTACGGAAGACAGAAGAAGAAGACACCAGAAGGCAGCAGCTGTATATAGTCTACAGCAGTAGTAGTCGCGCTATTTTCACAATATTTGATGAACAAGACACGAGTTCTGCAAATAAATGTCGACACACAGCAGCCTTCGGTGCATGGTTGGTCTCTCGCAGCGTGTGCACTCACGTGTGAAGCGGGGCACATTGATTTGTTGATTGTTTAACGCAGTTCCCGCACGATTGGGGCAATATGACGGCAATATCCCGTCCTCAGGCCATTGGTGAGCTGCTCTGACACAAGCAGTCTGGGTAACATAAACATTTTAGCGCGACCAAGTAAATGGTCAATGAAGCCTGGCGCCAGAACATGTAGACGGGCATACATGAGCGAGATACGGCGTAAGCACCAAAGCATAAGCTTCGAATTCCAACAAGAACAACACCAGCAGCACCTTCGAAAAGGTTCGATAGATAAGAAGACTTTCCTCTCATCCTGAGCGAACATTGGATGCTACGACGTTTCGGTATACAGTAGTAATAGCTTGTTGGTGAAAATTGGGACCATCAACGCTGATGGTTGAATAGCTTTCACGAAACACCGGCTGCCCGCAAACTTACACTGGGCGTACAGCAGTAGACTTGAGTAGCAATGCGGGCGACGGAGACACAGGTGCGTGCTGCCCCTTGTTGTAAAACTTCAAGTAAAAGTACAACAGCAGCCCTCAAACCCAAGCGACGGACCCGATTTCCGCCCTTCTCCCCACCTGCAACCATCGTGTCCTGGGATCCGGGGGGGGAGGGTACCCACGACAACAAACAACGCAACCACGCGATAAAGAACATCGACGAAAAAGAAGAAAAAAAAATCGCTGGTCCTCATGCTCTTGGCCTGTGATTTAAGTTTTTCGCTCGCGGGCGTTTGCCCTTGTCTCCTCTCATATACCACAACTACCACTCACTCTCGTTCATCCAATGCTGCTGCCGTATCCTCTCTGTCCTGCTACCCAGCGTTCCCAAGCGACCGCCAACCAAACATCGATGCAGAAGGCGACGCAAAACACCAACAAGACAACAGCAGTCACACGTCTCCCGTCGGTCAAGCTGCCGTGAGGTCGCTGCCCACACTAATAGCCAGCGAGGCGGGTCGGGCAAGGGCTAAAGAATACGGTTCACGCAAAAAGACACAACGCAAAAAAAAAAAAAAACAGCAAACCTATCGCACACGACAGGGAGGGTTGTTTCGACGCATGTTTATTCTCTTCCCAAGCCTTCGTCGAACCCCGACGCCAAGTTATGCACTTTCAAGTCCACCCTTGATCAACGCGCACCCGATCGCATGTAATTATCGTGAACATGTCGTGCTTGATGCACGTTTTCCCCTATCCAGAGCCAAAGCGCTGTGGGATAAGATAAATACAAGTGTCGAGAGGACCGAAACAATGCAAATTTCGCCGTCTGGACCGAGCATGAACCCAAGACCTCTCCACACTCTGACGGCCAGCAGCGGAGATAGATTCAAAGGCCGCCAAACATCCGAACGAAAATCGTCCTCTAAAGTTGCAGGCAAAACAGGCAGGACGCTCAGCACAACATCAAGCAGTGGCGGACGGTCGCACCTACATGCGCGCGAAACAATCGCATCACCGTGATAGGTCGCTGCTGACACCACACACCGGGCTTCCGCCTTGCACGCTAAGCTTCGCTATCACCGCCGCCGCCGCCCCCTGGCGTCGCCCCGTCACCCCGCCAGGGGTAGCTTCGTGCTCTGCTGCATGCACCCCCGCCTACGTCGTGACCCCCTACCGCCAGTTCAACGCTCGCTGCCCTAGCGGTCCCGCCAGCGAGCAGCAGCAGCCCAGCCAATGTACGCCGCCCAAAAACGAACAGGGGCCCCAAGACCCGACCGGCCGCCCACACGCCCTCACGACGGAACTCCCCGTGACGCGCTAACTCAGGCATCATCCAAAGGGCCTTCCTGCCCTCCCGCCCTTCGGCGCCTTGGCCTCCTTGTAGTCTGAACACGCCAAAACAACCAAGCAGCAACACACACAGCAACAATCAACACACAGACAAACAGCCACAACAATACACGGGACAGCAGTGTTAGTGCGGGCGTGTGGAAGTACGTCGTGGGGACAAGGCGGCCCCCTGACATGACGACTTTCTGGGGAGGTGCGTTCTTCACCTTAAAAAGGCGTGTGTGAGACGGGGGTGCTTGTACGACCAAGGGCGTAAACACAAGACCTCCAGATCACACAATCCAAGTACTAGGTTCGACGTACTGCAGCAGCAGAAGGACGAAAGGAGAATTAAGCAAGGAAACTTTCGGGCACCGGCAGTCAAAGGTGGACGTGTGTGGCAGTCATCACGCCGATTTGACGTGTGGCCCTGCTGCGGTTGAGAAGACCGCATGCCAACCCAACGCAAGCACGCAGCCAGACCTGCGACCAAGAGCCGAGGTGATTCAACACATGGAGGGATACGTTTGCGCGTGTGTTCGAGCTCAACTCAACAGGACATACGACGCCCCAGCAAGCGCCTGCGCCTGCTGCCAGGAGTGTTCCGCTGAAGGTTTAAGGCATCCAAGCTCAAATCCTCACGAAAAAACAAAAAAACAAAGACAGAGTTAAGGAACACGGCTAGCCAAGCCTTGGATCCTACACAAAACTCTCTATAACAATCACCTGTGCTCAACGGTTTCGACGAGTTATTTAAAAAAAAAAACCCGAATGGTATTCGACGTGTCTTCTATTACTAATTGCGGGCCCGTTTGTTTAACCGAACGATCGAACGATTCTTACTCACCCAGCATCGCGTCCACGCGCTCGAGCTGCTGGATACCCTCATTAGGCAGTGCCTGTTCTGCCCTCTCCTTAAGCTGCGGGTTGGCGACCAATTCTACGGCGGCCTCCGTGCGCTCCAGCTGACGATGGGATCAGGAAGGTCAGCGCAAGCGCGGGGGAAAGAGAGAGAGAAAACAGAACATGGGGCAATGCACAGGCGGCGAGAGTAACTCAACCAAGCCGGTGAGAATAAACTAAAAAAAATTAGTTGTGTGGAAGGAGCTGAAATAACTGATCAGAGCCAAAGAACAAGAAGGAGCGTGAGTGTTCCCTGCCCGGGGACGCTTGGTGTGGACTTGTTCAACCCAGGCGAGCACTAACCCTCGCAGTTGCAAGTGGTCATCAGGCAAAACAAACTACTCTGTGGGCTCTTGACTAACCTCAACTGCAATGCCCGGGCTCTACAGGCAACGGTTGTGTATATACTCGGCGCATTGGCGTGCATTTCCAAAAAACTACAAGGAGCTCGGCGGGACAACTCTCAGCCTGGCCGTCGCCCGGGCAGACGAAACTTCTATAACACTGCTGCCGCTCCCTGCAACAAGACAAGCACCGCGTAAGCGCCGAGAAGAAGAACCAAGCACACACTGACCTGCGCCCCAATGCGCAACGGCTTGCTGACGCCGTACCCCGTCAGGCTCTCCGAATCGAGCGTGGCCGCCCTCCCGTCAGGGTCGATCTCTACGGCCAGCCCGATGTCCTCTTTCGAACGGCTGTCTAGCCTCCACGCGTCCTGTATGTAGCGCGAAAATATCAACGCGGGTAATGACACGTAATCAAGTGCTTTCGCAGCGGAACCAAGTTCACTCTTATCGCTGAGGGGCACGGGGGCATTCGGCGTGGGCGACGAAACAAATTGCAAAGGAGGTCGCAGTAGCGCCGGCACCTACCTCCACAAGGATAGCAACGTTACAGCAACGGTACCTACCACCGAGCACCAATCAAGAATCATCTCTTCGCCTGTCTTCCTCTTCCTCCGCCTCATGCTCAATGGAAAGGCCAACTCGCCACCAGACGACGCCGGCACAACAAAACACCACCACCAGCACAAAAAAAAACAACAACGTCACCCATGACGCACACCAACAGCCAAGTTGCCCGACACCAACCACTTCCCCCCCCCCCCCCCCCCACCCCCCCCCTCGTTACCTTTGGCAAAGGGAAAGGCAGGGCGTCCCCGGGCCGCCCCACCCGGACCGGGAAATGCCCCCCCTTTAGGGGAAGCCCCTTTCCCCCCCCTGGGGGACCCCCCTTAACGAAAGGGGGCCCCAACCCCCCCCCCCCCTCGGGGTCCCCCCCAAGAAAACCGGGGGGGTCCGGGGCCCCCCGGGGGGAAAAGTCTTTGTTGATCCAAACCCAAACCTTTTTTTGTAATTTTCCCCCCCGCGCCCCCGAAAGCCCAGTCAAACGTTGTTGCCGGTGTTCTTTTTTTGTTGGGAAAAAGAAAAAGAAAATAACCCCCTTTTGAACCCGCAAAATTTGAAAA